TTGAGTATGAAGAACAAGAAGAGTCAAAACACCCAGCTGGATTGATGAAGGAACAGCGTGTATCCACTTCACAACCCTTACCTCTTCCATCTCCTCAGGGTGGTGTTGCATTGAAGGCTACCAGTAGCTTTAAGTTAGGGACAGCTAGTGGTCCTCTATATGCTTCTGGACCTTTGCCACTGCCACCAACTGGTTCCCTACGGAACTTTCCCTTTGAGGATATTGCTGCTGCTTGCCACAATTTCTCTTCAGATCGATTCATGTCAGAGAGTCTTTCTTCTACAATGTATAAAGCTTCCTTTGGTGATGATGCTTCTAGTTCAAAAACTTTTGATGCCACTGTCACCCGTCTTCACCCTTCCACTCAGGTACTTGACTCTCCAAACTGAATTATTTTTATCTTCATGCCTAAGTAGCTGCGATTATCTTAATAGCATGTGCGTCTTAGTGCAATTAAGAGAACTAATGCCTTATGTCTTATCCTAGAAAGGCTAGAATCCAGTTCTCTGTAAATTTAATATGTGGGACTTGAATACTTGCACCAGAGAAATTTTCAGCCGGCATTGAAGTGTTGGCCATTAGACTAGCACTCTGCATCTGACTTGATTTTGAGTTGTATCCGATCTTTTTTCCTCTTGTTGTCCTCCAAATGTTAACTAAATGCTATATTACGGTTTCAATTGTAATTACAAATCATTGGAAACCTTGTGCTGAAATTCAAAGCACCTTATGAAATTCTGAAGTTCTGTAGTGTTGTCTCTCTTTTTCAGGCCTTGAAGGAATTCATAAATGAGGTTAACACTATTGCATCTTTGCAACATCCAAACCTCTGCAAATTGCTAGGTTTTCATGCTCGCGAGGGTTCAGAACGGAGAATGTTGGTTTATGAAAGGCTCTTTCATGGAAGCTTGGACCGCTTGTTGTATGGGAGATCTGATGGGCCACCACTTGATTGGAATACAAGAATGAGAATTGCTTTGTGTGCTGCCCAAGGTCTTACTTTCTTGCATGAAGAAGGGCCCTTCCAGGTGAAATTTTTTTTTAAACTTCGTTTGGTGTGAGTCTTTTCTCTTATGCAATCATTTATGCTGAACGGAACTATATTTCAGTTTTACGGGCAGTCTTTTGGTGCATTGACTAAGAGGCATATTTGTTTATATTGTTGCTGATATGACTCTTAATGTCTTCAGGCAATGTATAACGAGTTTTCTACAGCCAACATACAGATTGACAAAGATTTTAGTGCAAAGCTTTCAGGATATGGTTGTGTTGGGCATATTCCTGAAGAAGAGATTCCAAGCAGTTCGTCGGTGAGTTCCAACTTCATAGTGTTTGGCAATTCAGTTAATTGCTGAAAATGATGAAAAATTTATCACCGAGGATGATAAGCTTTGTTTGTTAAGAACATACAAAAAATAGCAGTTAATTAATGAAGTTCTGAAAACGTTCAGCTTATGGAACCATCACTTCTGGTTTCTGCGCCAATTCTTTCCTTCTTTATATTATTTTACTAGTAATTGATAACATTGGTTTCCCAGACTTATTGGATGCCAATAACTATCTTTCATACACTTTCGTCCTTCAGTTGGTATTGTCCAACACCGTGAGTTCCAAGCTGAAGTCTTTCCCACTAACTATGCAGTAACTAATTTCCTGTTTTAAAAACTTTAAATTCGTCTAGAAACCTTAAACTGTTTGGTACATTAAGCTGGTACTTTTATGTGCTTCAAAATTTCTCATTTCTGTCATGAAAGATAAATGCGTAAGTTCTGCTTCCATTCAGCGTTTTCATAATCTTATTTTTGTGCAGGCTGTGGGAAACCTATCAGTGGAGACACTGGAAAGACGGTTGCTAACTCCGAAGAGCAACGTTTGGAGCTTTGGCATTTTTCTTCTAGAATTACTGACCGGAAGAAAGAATCTGGATAGCCGTCACCCCAAGGAAGAGAGGAATTTAGTCAAGTGGAGTTGGCCCTTCCTGGCCGACGATTGTCGACTGTCCTTGATCATGGATCCTCAACTGAAAGGTCGCTTTCCTTCCAAAGCAGCAAGGACAATAGCTGATATTGCACTAAAATGCCTTCAGAAGGAGCCTTCAGAAAGACCCACTATGAGAATTGTTGTTGAGCATCTTAAAATGGTACAGGATATGAAGTACTCTCTCCGGTTTCCTCTGCAAGAGCCTGCTGCAATTTCTGGAAAACAGATGTCAAGATCGCCAAGTCTTAATGGCATCGTCTGTCCCCAGCCTAGAATGAGTTTCTCTCCATCACCACCACTGCCATCAGGAGCGCAGCCATCTGGTTCACCTCCAAGATGGTCTGGTGGGCCCAACTTGCTTCCCTTGCGAGGGTGTTCCTCTATGCTTTCTTTGGATGAGCTTGATCGGCAGTTAAGCCAGAAGTCGTCTTCCTCAGCATCTAGGAGGGCTAGTGTTGTAGGATATTGACTGTCTATAATGTTTGTTTTTGATTTTTCATTGATTTGATTAGCACTAGTTCACAGGAGATAAAGAATTAAAGATCTGATTCTCCCACCTTTTACAGTATTAGGGTGAGAGGATGTTCTTTTGTAGATAGTGGAAAGGCAAGGTGATATTATCCTTCCTTCTTTGCTTCCAATCTGTATACTATAGGATGCTGACTGTCAGCAACAAAAGCATTAAAGTCCTGGAAAGATCTAAATCTTTTTTGTATTTTATTTTATGAAGCGTTTTTTTAATGATCACTGTAATTCCATGCTCGAGAAGATGGAAAAGTGGGATAACAATTAACAATGAATTCGTGAATTGATGGCTTGCATTGGATGGTGGAAAAACATGGAGCCAAACGTGAAAAAAGAAAGAAAAAAAAAAGGCACTAAATTTAAGGAAAAATGGTAAATAAAGACTCCTTAATATATAAAATTGTGATTTAGGACTCTCAATTTAGAAAATGACAAATGAAGACTTGGTCCTATATTGTAAATATGAAATTTAGTGAAATGTGTAAAATGTTCCTCAGTCAAGTTGTGATTTGGTCTACTGAAATTATCATTCGTTAAGGTGAACTTGTTATTTCCTATAGTCAACTTTTCATTTGACATACCCTCAACCAAGTTGTGATTTGGTCTACTAAAGTTGTCATTTGTTAAAGTAAACTTGTCATTTTTCATAATCAACTTGTCATTTAGTCGAGGGACATTTCACCAAGATTTCATATTTATAATATGGGACCGGGTCTTTATTTACTATTTTTAAATTAAGAGTCTCAAATTAGAATTTCACATATTAGGGTCTTTATTTGCCATTTTTCCTAAATTTAATGCAGCATCTTTTTTTTTTTTTATAACAAATTATCCATGATATATTGTCAAGATCAGCCCTTTTAAAAAAAAAAAATGACTGTCCTTGGAGTTCACGTAGCTATGAAATTTAACTATATCAACATAAGTTAAAATTCTTTAAATTAATCATTAAAACCAAAAGCAATACAAGATCACACAAAATATAGCAAGTCGTATTATCATTTATCAAATTCGGTGTAATGTATTGAAAGTTGTCTAATTTCTTCCAAGGTTGGATATTTCAACAAGGGACAAGAGGGCTTAAAAGAACAAACCAAAAATCTACATGACATGTTTTTCTTTGTAATATTTTTGCCTTGAAGATTTATCTAGAGTATCATTTTTTTTTTTAATCTCTTCGGCTTTGCTTGAGATCTTGTACTTTTTCTTTGATTCAGTTTCGCATATCTATAAAAATAACAATGAAATAAATTTTATCTATACAACTTTTGGTGAGCCAAATATTTTTTGTAGTGACCAAGAAATACTGGATTCAACAGAAGATGTTAGTTCTTCACGTGTCTCTATATTTAGAGGGTGTTTGGGTATCATCCCAAACCATGGTTTAAGGAAAGAGTGAGCGAAACAGGGAGAAATAATCCGAAACCATGATTTGGGCTAAAATCATAGTTTCAAGAGAAGTGAATCCATTCTGCTTCTAGCTCAAATTGGAAAGTATGATTATGTTTGTCAGAGTAGATCTCAACAATAATATGACTTTAACACCCCTCTTCATATTTAATCTTATATCTTATAAATATATATATACATATTAATTATTTATTAATTACATTATCTTATACTCCCTCCGTTCCTTATTATAAGAGACATTTGATGCTTATGGCATGTTCCTATATATAAGAGACACTTAAAAGTTGTCTCTAGTTTTTTGTATTGATTTCCTATTTTACCCATATTTATTTTGTCTCCAACTCATACTCTCTCTCCCTCCCACTTCTCTTTCTTTTAATAATTTAATTATTCTCTCTCATACTCTCTCTCCTTATTAATAGGGGCATTGTTGGAAAAAACATTATACTTTTTACACATTAATTGTCCTCAACTAATTTTAACTGTTTTTTTTATCAACGTAATTTGGTTATTTGTTTCTTATAATAAGGAACGAAGGGAGTATATTATTAATTATGTTGGTAAAAAATATATTATTAACAATTTTATTCCTTCAAATTAAAATATATTATAAAATCTATGTTTTATGTAATTATCATATTAACTTATGCCTTTTTTAGTAATTTGTATATATAAAAAGTGCTTCTGATAATAACTATCCAAACACTCTCATTTTATCAGAATCTCTTTTCCACAAAATCTATTCTTGACAAAATCTATTCTCCGGGAGCTATTTTTCAAACCATGGTTTGATTTCATCCAAACACTTTTTAGTTTTTGACAATATCTTGAATATAATTTCCTCCAATAAAAATATATCTATGCATAGCAAAACAATAAAAAAATGAAAAAAAATTCTTGCAGCCATCTATCTTACCTTATGGTTACAAGACGTTATTTTCAGGTATCCAAGCAGCCATTGAGATGTCTGGATGCACGCCTTCTGTTAGCTTAAATAGCCAATTTTATATGTAGTCCGAGAGAATGGATTTGTCAGCCATACATTTGTACTTTGTCGAAACAAGTTGAGCCCTTTTAGACACATATTAATGGCAAATGACAAATAACCTGTAAATGATTCCTTTCAAGCTCTTGCTTCTATAGACTGCAGTTTACAGCCTAAAACACAAGATTCAACATGTATAATTATTGGCTCACACACCCGCAAGATACAAATTATGTGGCAAAGCGCAAAAAAAAAAAAAGGGACATATAAACATCCAAATGAAGCGAAAATCAACGTAAGGTAAGGACTTCATGAAGGGGGATTATTTTCGCTTTTGTCTTCACCACTGTTCTGTTCATGACTACTTTCTTGCTCCTTAACATCAGAAGCAGCACAACAATCCTCGTTGGGTCTTCCCTCACTTTCGTTAGTGGTCTGCGCCTGCACATTGGAAGCTGAATTTGCTTGTTGCTCTGATGCCAAACTAGCAAGACCATTTTGCTTCAGATATGTCTCCAAAGGGAGATTTGCTTCTTGAAGTAGACTCATCATGCTGACACTGTTTGAGCCAGCTTGCATGTCATTTCGATCGGGATCGCAATTCAAGTCTAACTGTGCCTTGCTAGTTTCAGCCACATCGGTTTGACTTCTTGAGTCCAACTCATTTGGTGGCCTCGCTTCAGTCTCAGAACCATCAGCTGGAGTTAAATTTCTAGAGGTGCTTTCCACTTCTGATTCATCCCTCGGCCCACCTGATTGCTGGTTTCTCTGAGCAATCTCTGCTTCACGTTCAGACTGACGTTTCTTCTTTCGCATCATCAGGGTCTTAAACCGACGTTTAACTGTCATGCATACATTGCAAGTGCACGTAGGTTTGTGTTTTCCCTTTCCACTGGGTGGCTGGATGCAGACAATGCAGGAGCAGCCAGGTCTATGCCGAGGGTGTTTTGTAGTGGTAGCAACTTGCGTCTTGCTAGAATCACCTGCATCGTCTCCAAGTATTGCAGCATTGGCCAAAGCATCCAGTCCAGAAGATTCATGCTGCTCCAGGGACAGCCTGTGGCTAGCCGCCATTTTTTGTTTCTTGAATTCTATACAAAAACGATGGATGAAACATCACCGATCCAGAATTTATTAAAAGAAAGAACACCATTCCTTGGTCATAAAGCATAATTTGTGAAATTCCTAATTCTAATCAGAAAACATAGATTCATGTTCTTCACCAGGTTGTTGGGCAAGTTTTATGAATTAATCACTTGCACCTTTCAACTGTGCGCGTGCTTTTGCTTTAGGAACAGATCAACCATTTCATTCAATCAAACGCAACTTCCAAGATATGAATAATCACATATAGTATTCTTCACTAATGAAAATCTATATATTTAGACAACGCCTTCATGCAACCACGATTGCGATGCTTTCTGCAACTATCCCGTGAAACTGCCATCATACAGAACCAGGGCTACATTGATACTGCAAATTACACTGATGAAATAATTTTCAAGTGTACCATGCGGCGGTGACTATATAACACCATTACCATGTACATTTAGAAAGAACCAAAAACTGGAGACATACCCTTATTTAATCTCAGAAGATTATCCAGTTCCCTTGGGGTGAGTTCACTGGGGGCAGAACATGAACACCTGTTGAAAGCATCGCAAAAACATCAGGATCCCGTTAAGAACATTCGTTAATAACTACACCGCACTAAAAGGTCTCCTGCTGACCTGCTCTGATCCCATGAATTGTCCCCGCATGTCCACTTAGGGGGAACAAGTACATCCACAGGCAACTTTCGCCATTTTGAGCAACTATCGCATTGAGTCCATTGTTCATGCATCCTAAGGTTAATCCACCCATTCATGCAGTGTTAGCACAACGTGGAAAAAGATAGGAAAAATAATGGAAATATAAATGAAATGGGGATAATGGTAAAGGGAAAAAACAAGACCCTTGCGATTACTGCCAGAAATTGCAACAATATGCATCTTACCCTGTTGAACGGGCCACAAATATACTTCTCTTCCCAAAGATAGGAGGTTCCTGCAAGAAGCCATGTATAGGAATTTTACAAGTCAACTCTTCCAGATCCTTTTGAACAGGCTGAGTTTTATTATAACGTATTTCCTTTAAGTGGAGACTTTCTATCAAAAAGAAAAAAGTTCATCAATATAACTTAAAAACTCAATTTCACAAGCTCATCATCAGAAGAAAGGTTCTTACATGCACCACAGACAGACACACACACCAAAAACTACCACACCCTGAACGAGTGATACGAACTGAGATATTACAACAATATAATCCAATACTTACTAGTGTCTGAACATGCATTGACATGGGTACCATATCACGTTATATAATTTCAATTAGTTTAATATTAGCTGAATAATTAATAGAGTGAGAAAAGAAAAGCTGGACTGAGCTAAAGAATACTATGCAGCTGCAAGGATTTCTGAAAATTTCTTGTCTTTCAGATCATAATTACCACAAATATCTTAGTTTTAGACTCTGCCAGAATGACATAATCTGAAGGGTAAAAGAATTCATAAAGTCACAACAACAAACCACCGGATCTTGATTATTTGAAGCTTTTTTTTTGTTTTTCTTTGGGGGGGGGGGTGGTTGCGCACTGGTGTACAAGACATCAAATTCTCTTTCATATGCTTTTGCATGGATGAAAACTCAAGATGGGAAGCTTTGTGAAATTCAACAATAAAATGTGTGGATTTCATAGAGTTTGCATGAATTATAGATTTTTGTCAAGAAATTACTCACTTCATATTCTTCAAATACATGGTCTTCAATCATGACTATGCTTGGCTTAACTGCTGGTGGTGGACGGAGCAAATCCTGAGCCTCCTCCCAGGTTAGTTTGAGCTCCAGTGCATCCTGGCTGTCAATAAGCAATCTCTTACTTTTTGGCCCAATATTACGAGTCTTTTTCTTCTCCGGAACCAATGCTGGTGGCAGAAGCAATCCTTCTCTTTTCCTGCCTTCAGGCATCTCAATATTATGCCAATTCATCTCCCCACAAGCTGAATTCCACTTTTTAGTCAATGCATTTAGTTGGGTTTCTGAACTTCCTTTTAAGGATTGAAGAAGGCCAGAGTAGCCACTTAATACAGGCAAATTCTCATAAACACCGGGATAGGAAGTTTCACTTGAACGATTGCCATTGGGAATATTAGATGGATGAGATTCCTGTTCAATAGCCAAATGGATATTAGATGGCTGTTTCGTCTACTATTTTGCCAAAAGTATATATCAAATATTTTAGTTTGAGTTTCTCATTTCTGCATGAAACTAGCTGTTACCTGTACTGCAGAAGAATTTGTAGCCTTCCGAAACCCCATTATAAGTTTTCCCTCAGGGTCCATACGACTAAATGTCACTGCATATTTTAATAAAAAAAATTTATTTTTTACATCCATATTTTGAGCCCCAGAAGGTAGTAATATAGTTTTTTTTTTTAAAAAAAAAAAAGTGGGTCTCCACAAAGTTAGAAGTGGTAACAAAATCAACTTTTCATCAAACAAAGGCCATTTGACAATATATGCAATTCGAAGATTCATGAGCAATGTTGACAGCATATAGCTCACAGCAGCCAACTTCTGTCAGATAAAACATCCATTTTCTCTCAAAGAGAAAATGTAGCAAAGGATGTTCACCGAGCTTCATAAGCTTATTTAAACATGGAACATGAATAACATTATAAGCAGCCCGGATCTTGAAACATTATATCCACCGGGTAAACCTACTAGCTAATTCTTTTCTGATAGGGATATACATCTTGTTTCACACTGCGAGTTAAGAGAGGGGCCATGCAGTGACAAAAAGAGAGATAGTCCAGTCCAAAGAAAGACTTTTATAGCAAATAGACTAATGCAGAATATAAAAATAGCCAAATTATGTGATTATTATGAACGCCAACTGTTCTTTTTTCGAGGGAAGAAAGTTCACGTAGCTTATCTATTCTCAAAACATCTCTGTTAATAAATTAAGCAATGCAAAATAAAACATACCAGTATCCCCAGCTTGCAACTGCATAGACTGAATGCAGGGCGTTACCCCCTCTAGAACATACATTCTGCTGTTATTGTTTGGCCAGAATCTAAACTGGAATACCCATTCTTTTCCTTTCACATCTTGGATTCGTAAGGGAAGGCCCTCTGGCTGAGAGATAGGAGGAAAATATGTCTGCATAATGACTTCCTCATTTAGTTATATGGTAAGAAATAGTTTGGTTAATGTTTAGATGAAATGACAATAATATATAAAAAATGTGAATGCAGAATTGAGCAAACTCACTTCAGCACAAGCCTTTGGAAGAACCAGGCGACCAATTCGACCAGCATCACTTGCACTAAGCATCTTTTCAAATAGTGGGACAATGATTGAATTTGAACTTGAACATATCATGAACAATGGTTAAGGAAATTGTTTTTCAAGTTAATCAGTAATACGAACAGTAACAGGTGTATCATTCTAAGTGAAGTAGCCTGCAAATAATTTAACAGTTCACATAAACATACTGATGGATACTCTCCAGAGATTTGCTGCAACTCCTGATCAGTGATCCTAGGCCAATAACGGGGAAGTAGCTGATTCCTTCCACGTCCTTCAGCAGGTGGCCTGGCAACACGAATTTGAGATACTATCCCTGCATTTGCCTCCAAGCCTATGGGGAGCGTTGCCCTAGGGGGCTTGGGTAAGAGATGGCGAGATCTGGACCCCGGCAATGTTGAAGATGATGTCTTACTCTGCTCCCTTTCCTCAAAAGCATCATTACGAAAGGAGTTTGAATTACCTAAAGGAGCACCAAGAGTCATACTCAAATTTGTTTGAGCCAATGATTCATACATATCTCTTATTTCTACATCTGTCTTGCAATTGTCAACTTTGACAGCCTTGGATGATCCATTTGGCTCTGGATGGAATTGTGATATTGAAGTGCTTCCAAGTTCCCCAATAAAAGGCATAACTTCTTGTTTTAATCGCATAGGAGGCCCATTTGTGGCACCATTATGATGTTGGAGCCAACTCCTAAGCCCATCATTCTCTGCATAATCCCCTACCCGCACCCCTCTCACTTTCTCAACATTGCTTCCTTTTAATTGGTTAGAAACCAATGAGCATTGTAGTTCACTTCCAATTTCAACTTTTGATGTACCAGATCCATCAGGCTTTTCCATAGTTGAACTCTGTAAAATAAGGATAATCAATTCCAGAAACACAGCATTCAACTAAAAAATAAACGCATACAAAATTAGTTTTTTCCTTTACTGACAAGTGATATAACCCTAAATGCAAGAAACAACAAACCATAAAACATATATTTGGTTGCAAGTCACACACAACTGTCATTAAATTGAATGATCAAGTCCATGATCAAGGGCAACCATTTAGTGCTCCTCATTAATCAGCCTAACAACCTTCTAATAAAGCTAGGTGCAGCTAAACAAAGGACTCCACTTCAATATCTGGATCGTTAATCTATGATTCTTTATAAGTTGTAAAGATTAATGAGACTTTGGAAGTACATTGATTCATGTTCCATTCTTTTCCCTAGTGGTGAACACGTATGCTTTGTTAAATAACTGAAAAAGTAAATTTATCTTACAGGTTGTCCTGAATCTCTCGCACAACTTACGCAGCTTACACCACCAGTGTCTAGCAGCTCAAGCAAATTTCGAGAAGCAATGCATCCACAATGAAGACGCTGTGTATATTAAATAGTACGGAATCATTAAAAGCAGGGTAATGTTTAAGAAAGACATAAAGCAGGGTGCTTAAAAGCTAAGCAACTTTCTTGAATATACTCTACCTTGCCACACGATGCGCACTCCCTCCAACCAGAATCCTTTGAGTGGAACACATAGCAAAATGTTGATTGCTCATAAGCAGAGCTAGAGAGGAAAAAAGTACAGATTAAGAATATGGACTGTGAAATTATCATTTAAAAATCTTCAATGTTAAACCTAGCCAAGGCCACATGCGATCTCAATGAAGTTGGTCCCAACCAATACAATCATACTTTGTGTTCTTAATTTTTAATTAAAAGCAACATTCGGTCTAACTCAATACTTCTAGTTATATTGCTTTAAACTATATATTATGGACTAGGTTTATTTTTGATAATGTAGTTCAACCATTTATGAGCTTATTTCTTTGTATGTCAGGTGGGCTACATGATAATCCCCTGGTCGTTCCAATGGTGATCCGTGATTTTCCTTTTTCATACAGGAACATGTTATATTATTTCTAGGCCATGACTGATAAATATTTTAAGTTTTTGGCCATTCATTTGGAAAATCAGAAAATTTCATATGGTAAGGTAGAATAGGACCCTGACAAGAAACACAAGAGAAAAGGTCCTATTGTAGCATCAGGGCACCTTTATAAAATATACAGGGAGAACAACAAGCCGTTGAAAACGAAGAAGCCAAAACTCGCAACAAGGATGTGAGTATAACACCCTACTGGACTTCGATGAAATTTTTGACCAAAAAAAAAAAACGAAATAAATGAGCTCAAAATTAAGCGAAAGAACTAAAAATAGATAATAAGAAAACCGCGAAATTTCTAATTTCTCCCAACAAGCATTCCGTACAACCCCATAACATATCTATTGTACATATCAATGCGAAATTTAGAGTATATTACCCGCACTTATCACAGAGATCGGCGAATTCGCCGGATCTCAAGGGCCATCCTTTCCGCCACTGAACCGACTTCGAGGTGGCACAAGCCGCATTCATGCAAGTTCTTGACACCATTTTCAAACTCAATTCTTCAGCTTCCATTGCATCCAGTCAAAAAAACAAAACAGTTGAAAACCCTAACAATTTCCAATCAGAACTTCACCAACCTCACGAAGCAGAACACAGAATCTCAAACGAAAAACCCCGATAAAAAAGCTAAGCATCCAAACACCAACCTTAAGCTGGCATCAGCAGCACTGTAAGTTCACAAGAAGCAGCATACTCACCGGTAATTTGTCGAAAAATCAGGCGCCGCCGGACGCGCCGACCTCGCAGATTCACATTCAGGAAGTGAACGACAAGGAAGAATCAGATCGGAAGAGGAAGGGGAAAAGAGAAGTAATGTGAATCTAGGTTGGCCGGAAAAGCTTGAAGAGGCGAATGAAGAACAGAGGAAGAGAAAGGGAGGCGTGTGCATGCAGAATAAGAAAGGAGAAACTAAGAAAAGAAGCACTTAATGCATGCACGATGATTATACTTCAAGACTCGGCCAACTCCCCCACTTACCCCTGTTTACTTTTATTCTATTATTTTTTTTAATTTTATTAATTCTATTTTTTCCCTTTTCTTTTTGAGTAAACGTCAATTCCGTGATTTTTAGGTTATTTATTTAGTAGTTTTAATTAATTTATCACCGCCAAGAAAATTACACTGTTATTTTCATCTAGAAACTGGAATCATGACTATGTAAGTATTGATGGGGATTTGGCACAGGGTGATGATTTAGGATGGATTGTATTTCATTAATTAAAGGTCATGTATTTGATTGATTCAATTAAAGGCCTATCGGTACAATTACATGACCATTATTTGAGTTATGATTCAAGATCTTCTGAAATGCTTTTATTCTATTATATTTTGTGTATACAAAATATATAGAGTACCCATACTTTTGATAATTTATCAAATCTTTTTTACTAATAAAATTTTGAACGAGGGATTTTCCCCAATTTTTTTCTAAATAAAAAGGATTAACCAATATGTTATTATAATATAATAATAAGAATTTGAGCAGTTGAAATTTATGTTGTCATAAATATTAATACCTCCGGTCCTTAATATAAGATCTTGTTTAGCTTTTATTTTGATCATAAATATAAGATCCCAATCTACTTTGTCTCTCATATTTATGTATTTTTTTTTCAAAATAATCGTTCTAATAATGTTAGTTCTAAGTCTTACTAATACATTTGATTATCAAAGATATTTTAGGAAAGACAACACCTATTTATTTCAATTAACTAACTTAACTTATTTTCTTAATTTCTTCAAATTAGTCAACTAATTCTTATAATTAGAACTGGAGGTAGTATTGATTTTGTAATGCTAGGGAACTCCCGAAAAAAATCGAAGGCGAGAAAGATAGATCAACTTGTGGGGGAAAAAAAATCAATTGTGGCAAGACAGGTAAAGGAAAATCCCAAGTAATCGAAAATCTTATGCTACAACTGATTTTTAATGGTATTAGTTTGGACAAACTAAAAAACAAAATGAATTGATATCTTATATTCAGGATAAAATTTAATTCTTAGTAATTTTTATATCAAGGACTAGTAGTAGTACAAGTACTCCTCCAATCTTTAATATAAGATCCATTTAATTAATTTGATTAGATTAAGAAAGTTAGGTAAGTTAGTTAATTATAAGAAATGTGACATGTTTTTCCTAAAATATTATAATCATCTTTCTTAGTACCTTTCTTCTTTTTCTATTTGATTATGGTTGAGGGAGTATCCATAAATGTAATTTAGAGAAAATTGATAAATATGATAAATGAGTTTTATATTTAGGACCAAAACTAACTCAATAATTAGGTTCTATATTAAGGATCGGAGGAGTATATAACAATCAATGAAAACAAGAAAAAAAAAACAATTTAGATTTATATCCTATAAAGAATATAGATTTACTTTCACATTGTTTAAAGACGTTTAATTTCTCACATATTAAAAAGTCGGGTGCTTTTGCGACCTATTTTGCTTCGAAATTTTTTAAACCTTGGAAAAAGGTCTAATAAAGCCAAAAGAAAAAAAACAAAGAAATGAGAAGAAAATTATTCATTCATGAAGGCGAAATTTTGACTTGTTATTAGTTATTAGCTGGTTTAATTGGTGCATGATTTGTCTTCTCTATAAATGTGAGCTATCAAAAGGGCCATTGCACAGTAATCTCATTTTAAATAGGGAGAATTACAATAATGTCTCAAACAAGAAAAATAATTGAAAAACGAGTTGTCATTCTCATTATAAGACTTGTCATTATAAACTGTTGAGGTTGTTATTGAGACTTTTTGATAATTATTTCTCTTCTGTAAGACACTATTGTAATTCTCTCTTTTTAAACATATATACATCATTAATAAATAGTCATATATTTTAAAATATAAGGGCGAGTTAAATAATTTGTTTTTTTAAAATATAATACCTTCCAAAATTTATAACATTTTCTGAAAATTGCTGTGTTTATTAATAATATTTATTAAGGAGGTTTACTTTAATGATAGCTTCCAATGCACATAACTAAATAAGGTATTTTAGAAAAATTAATATATAAATCTTGCACAAATAATTAAATTAACTGTTTTCCTTAATTTATGTAAATTATTTATATAATTCTTATAATAAGAACATAAGGAAGTACTACCTCTGGTCCTTACTACTTAATTAATTTAAATAGATTAAGAAAAATAGTTAAATTAGTTATTATTACAAATACAAGTTGATTTTTTTAAAAGTACTATTTTTAATCATAATTACCCTTAAGTTAAAACCTTTTGATATGTATAATCAATAAAGATACTATAGCTAGTAAGAAATTATAAATTTAGAGAACAAAATAAATTGATATCTTATATTTAGAACTAAATCAAATCCTAACTAGCTACTACCTTTTGTCTTAATTATAAGAGTTAGTTGACTAATTTAAGGAGATTAAGAAAATAAGTTAAATTAGTTATTTGTAATGAATATATGTTGTCCTACCTCCGATTCTTAATATAAGACCTTGTTTGGCTTTTATTTTGGTCCTAAATATAAGACCCCAATCTACTTTGTCTCTCATATTTATGCTTTTTTTTTTAATGTAGTCCTTCTAATAATGGTAGCTCTAACTAATACACTTGATTAACAAGAATATTTTAAGAAGGACAACACATATTCATTACAAATAACTAACTTAACTAAGATTCTTAATCTCTCCAAATTAGTCAATTGAGTCTTATAATTAGGAGCGAATGTGGTATTAAACATATGAGGTCGTAGTAATTTTGCGAAGGTGGAATATTGGCAGCCATAATGGTCAACGATTCAGAAACAAGTGTTGGCTTAATGGTTGTACGTGTGAATTTGAATCATTCAGAAATTCATTCCAACGAGTTCTTGCATGGTGACGAGCACTTGACCTTCCCTTTATAATTAATGTTTATATATAGTGCCCACCCCTCATCATCCAATCACAGTGTTACGTAATATTTGTTGTGCCTATCAAAAATAGATTTTATTTAACGCCAATTCTTATTATTAACTCACAACTAATAATGAGTCTTTTTGGAACAACATATGAACAACTGTTTTCTCCGAAACAGTTTTTTTATTATGAAACATGAAACTATTCCAAAAATGTCTTCTAAAGATAGAGTGAAATGAAACAAGAATTAATGTTTTTGTCATACAACGTTGTTGTGAGTTGTGACTGAAGTCGGCTTTTCTTGTACTTGCATGAAACAAAAATTACAGTCTGTTGTTAATGGCTTCTTAAATATTATACTTCTCTGATATTAAATATAAGAATATTTTTAAAGTATAAATTACACTATAAAATAGGTTTTATATTTAGAACCAGAGGAATACTGTACTAAGAAAAAGTTTGGTAACTTCTAAAACACTTAAAACAAAGTTTCAATGTAGGTTGAAATAAAATTTTTCTAACATATTTATTTTATATACCGTAAAATTATTTTCAAAAAGTTATTCAAATACTCTTACTTTTATATATATGTGTGTAGATCGATATCAGTATTTCATTGCATGATGGAAGCTACTTTTTTTGGGGGGCGTTGGAAGTCTAATTTGAAAGCATTGGTATCAAATAAACACGGAAAATTTCACCAAAAAAAAAAAAGAGAAAATTTAATATGTTTACCATTTACTTTTTTTCCCATTTTAACTGGAATAAGCTCTAAATTAATCATGATTTAGCTTGGCAAAAAAAAAAATCATAATTTATGAATATGAATCTTAATAACTTTTGTAAATAGATTAGTATCGACCAAGGTTGTCAAATTCGTGAGTTTAAACAAACTCGTAATAATGATGTAAACTCGGACTGTAAACTTGAATCGTAAACTTGTAAGAGTTTACTTTTATTAATAAAGTGATATTAAAAGTATATAATCATATAGTTAATATATAAAAAATGAGAACAATTTCATTTAAATACATTTTAAATTTAAATAATTAAAATTATATCTATCACTGTTCATAATTTATCATATTCAACAAAGAAATTTCTATAAAAATCATATATAAAGTCACTAAACATAATCAAATTAAAAAATTTAACACGAGTTTAAGAGCGAATTGACACGGTTTTGTAAACTAAAAACGTAAAAACGGTAAATTCGATAAATGAACTCGTAAATTTAATCAAGTTTACAGTTATCATGAGTTTAAGAACGAGTCGACACGATTTTGTTAACTGAAAATGTAAAAACATTAAACTCAGCGAGTCAACTCGCAAATTTGACAACAGTGGTATCTACCGTTGATTGGTTAACGGAAACCACGATCTTTTCAAATGGAGGCCAGAGGAAGGAGCCGAGATTTTTTGGGCAGAGGATTTTTGTTTTTTGGCCCAAAGTATCTGAGATTCATTAATGGAAAATTAAAAAAAAAGGAGAGGATTAAAAATTAAAAAAAAAAAAAGGAAGATAAATACGTCGGAGGAGAGCGCGGAAAGCGAATACACGAGGCGGAAATAATGATGGAGCCGGGAAATGCTCCACTTAGGGGAGGTAGAATGACGATACTATCCAGGATTTGGCCGTGAAAAGCACAGTTGGGCTTGTGCTTTTTTGTCCTTTCGAGATTCTTAGCCGCCCAATTTCGTGCTCTGAATCTGCTCCCACATTGACAACCTGGTCAACGATAATGCATCGCTGGCATTAAATCAGCAGCCTTCGCCCGATAATCTACCCACTTGTACGGCTACAGGTATCATTTTCCTCGGTTATAATAATAAAAAATACTATTTCCTCATGCCCTAATTATAATATCTTATTTATAATTTATAATTAAGATTGAGGGTAGCACTATCTTCATCCTTAATATAAGAGCTAGTTAACTAATATAAATAGATTAAGAAAGTTTGTTAAGTTAATTGTTTGTAACAAATATGAGTTGAATTCTTTAGAATACCTTTGTTAATCATGTATATTAGTT